AGACAGTAAAACATATCAAAATATTTTTTTTGTTTATCATTAAGTTTTGTGAGGACATAGAGTATTTAAGTTTTAAATCTCCAAAAAGGCGGTTAACCAAAATTATACTTTCTTCTTATAAAATAAACAAACTAGTGCCTAGTTTGTTTTGTGTTTCGGTAAATAATTTATGAAACTAACAATAAACTTCAAAAAATCAACTTCATTAGACTTATTTAGATAAACTATTAAAAAAAAACTATATGCTTAAGAGACCAATGTTTATAGATACCTACTCATATTTTTTAATTAAATTGCCAGGAACTTTAGAAATTACACACTTTTACACATAATCCAGAACCGGTCATTAGCAAAAACAAATGAATTCAGCTGTGTAGACAAGATGGCTGTCAAAACATCAAATCAAGGCAAATGCGTTTCTTTTTACGCACATTTTTACTGACTTATGTAAAAAATGTATCAATCCCGAAAATCCCGGGATTCATTAAATTTGATCCCGAAAATTTCGGGACCGGGACTCCGGGATCTCGAGATCCGGGATCCCGGGATCGAATCCTCTAGTCACTAGCCACTAGACCAAGTGGCCAGTCAAAAAGCATGAAGAGGTATGTTTCGTAGTGAATGGGGCTTTATATTTATAATGGTTATAATATGGTTTCCTACACATTCGGGGTTATCTGATTAACTTTAAACCCAACGGGGGACCTTGATCAAGGAGGGTAGCTGTATGTATATTTCCTGTTGGTATCAATCGATGCACTGAAATCCTTCAAAAACCATGAATACAAAAGATTTCGTTCCAAGACCAGAGTTGAAACTACGTACTGAATTTTTAGAAGAGGAAATCAGTTTAAGGTTTAGACAATGCAGGAAAGGTGCCGATAGCGAATATTTGTTGTTTGCAAAACAACCTCGACTCTTTTGTCTCACACACTCACAATTTTGGCAAAACAGAACAGACACTGCTGTTGTTCCAAGTATAAGAAAACGGGCCGTGTGCTTGTTTATTTTTATTTTTCTTAAAAAGACAACTGCCGTATTAGGAATGCATTCCTGTGTTGCGGGGGACTTTACAAACATACATGAAACGGACACTAAGAACACCCAGACTCAGTACAATAATTTGTGGATCACACAAAGTGTCGTCCCATGTGGGGTTTGAACCCACAACACTCGGCGCAGTAGGAAGCGGTGTGGCGACCGCTTAAACCACTACGCCATCCATGCAGTCAGTGCAGATTATAAAATCTATTTAGGTGAAATAATTGATCGAACACTCATTTTTTACAACCATCATTCAACCATATTCAACAATTGATAAACGACCTTTTAAAAGATAAATTAATATGAACTGTTTGTGATACAACCTAATCGACTAATTTCGTTCTCAGTATGAGAGATATGCCTTTTATATTTGTTCGTGCGGTAAAAGATTCTTGTAATGAATTATGGGAACTTAACCCTTCGGGTTACGGTTTTATGACGATGATATACGGAAATAAAGTTTACTGTTTGCAACGGTTTTAAAATCAATTCTATAAGATTTAAATTAAATTGGATTGCCGAAAAAATTGTAAATAAAACATCACATGTGTATTTTATTTTACTTTAGTGTAACATTCTAATTAACATACAGAAAACGTACATCTATATCAAGTATATATAGTAGGTATATTAAGTAATCCGCACTATAGTCCTCAAAATCAAGCATCTAAAGAAAAGTATATCTAAAACCGTCTACCCATTATCTTTTCTCGGGATTAAAGGTCAGAAATTCAGAGCAACTAATAAACTCATCAACAAAAACCACTGTCATTGATATGATGATTTTCGAAGTTGGAGGGTTCGGGCTCTTATGCATAATACAATTTAATTACGATTACGATCTTGACTTGCTCCTGAACAACATGAGCATGTCGGCTACGGATGGCTTGAAGAATGCACACTACAGTTTATATTTCCAAGTCAGTATACTTTTTTAGGATTTCCTTTCAAATACTCAAAACATTCTCATGGAATCCATAAAGTGCCGGGTTGACACAACAGACCCTGGTGTCCTCCTATTGCTCAAGTATTAAGGTCGACAGATCACCTGTTTAGTTATAGTCTAACGTTGTATATACTACTGCAGTTCTGGAGTGTGCGAGTTTGGGACTACAGGAATTGATGGAACTGAAATCAAAGTTGACTAAATGTGAGCGTTTAACATACTTCTCTCTCCTAACGTGTTTGTATGGGTTTTTACTCTTACTTTGCTACACTAGTTAAAATAATATCCAACCATGTGACCAAAAAATTATGTATCAATGGTATAACGACGAGCAGAGTGGTAACAGAGTCTTATATGAGCCTCAGGCATCACCAATTTGTCACCGTCTGCTGTGTCTGCCATTTCACGGGCTCACTTTCGGTACGAATCAATCATAGCCTTAACAAAAATCATTGACATTTCCTCATGACAACGAATACTCGTAAAGGCCTGTTCTCAGTGGACATCAGTTTTGTAATTTATGTTACATTCCCTGTTTATTTCTGGTGAATTGAAGTGAGTGAATTATCAATACAGGAATATATAGTGTTTAAATATTTCAGTTTAATAGGTTGGTCTTAGATACCTTTGGATTTCCTGATGTATGGACCACGTTACGGATTAAGAATACAGTGTCACCACCCCTATTCAGTCCGTGGGTGTCGTAAGAGCCTATTAAGGGAGCAAACTACGCAGTAACACAGCACTGCAAAGAGAAGGAAAACTTGAAACATACCCTATACCAAACCCGTTTGGCCAGACTGGTATAGTAGGCCAAAACCTGCTTTTAAGGAGAGGCCTATGCCCAGCAGTGGATTACTAAAGGCTGTTGATGTAATGTGATTTTCGTTTTTATAATAATTCTTACAATGTACACGATTTATCTTTTGAATGACAGTTTTTTTTTATTTTGTGTAACTATATATTTAGGGTTTAATGTTCGAGGAATACTTATAAAAAATAAGTATATATATATATTTCTTCTGTCCCTAAGGGTCCCCGCGTAGTCTTAAATAGCATTATAACCTGCTTCAAGAACTGGGCTATCGAATGCAAATATAAAGAAATCTAAAATTTACTCTTAGAGATGGGTGTGTTAAAAGAAAGTAATATTTTTTGAAGTGTGGACGTCCGTATGAACGAATTTAAAAATCGATGACTTCGTTCGAGAAAGCAATGAATTATATCAGTTAATCGGTCAAAATTTCACATGAGATTCACGAAAGGTTAAACTCGAATTAAATTTTGATTTATTAATGCCAATTTAGCCATCGGTAGTGTTTCGTTAGCGGTTGCATCTTGAGATCATCGGTCACTTATCGATAACTGCACTTTCTGTTGCTTCAGTACTCGTAATTTTGCTCACATTCTAGTCGATGGAAAATTTCTTTATTATACACTTGAGATACGGTCTTGTAAATCTTGTTGAAAGGTGACGGTAATAAATACATCAGGTTATATATTATCGTTCTGCAATATTTTACAATTTTGTGTCGATATTTTGCGAATATTCGTATGTGCCATAAGCATTATACTGAAACTTCCTGTGAAGTTCATTTCGGTATATTCTTTAACAATTTATCTTGTAAAACGACTTTTTCTTTTTTTCCATTTTTGAAATTTTTACTCCTTCCGAAACAAGAGAATGCATTACGAATATGAATGAATGCAAAATGAAACTCTTAAACGTTATTTTACAGTTTTTCTGTATTGCTTACAGATACGATTGCAGGTGCAATTCAAAAAAGTAGATAAGGAAATGGATTTAAAGTCTCTGAATTGACTTCAAATCGGTGAACAGGTATTGACTTCCATTCGGAAAGAGCCCTCTACCTATGTAGCAAGAGCAGTGTGTTGGTACTGCTGACGAGGGGGCACGAAGGTATCATGAGGTACAAAAAAACACTGGCAGCTCTTTCTAGTTGGTTGGTTAGGTCGTTAACTAATTTTACTGTACTTCAAGTGGATAAATTGGTTAAATTGTGACCAAGATCTTGTGAGTAAGTTGGTACTTTTTCTAAATTCTTTTCGTAAATTGAGTAGCTGCGATATTTTGCATTTGTTTTGCTTATGGCAATCACTCGCTGTGCCCTTGTTAGTGTGCATGCATAAGCATTACATGTATTATGACCGCTACTAATTTAATCGTATCACCTTAAGTTACTTCTGTGGCACTAATACAGTGATGTACGTTTTAACCAAAATATATAACCACTTACGAACATAAATGAACCCCTAACAAAGCATAGTGGAGATGAAAATAAGGGCTGTCAAATAGGAACAATAAGATTTAAAAGCGAGAAACACGTCGCAGGTCGGACGCAGCACTAATGACTTAGCGAAACCAGCCAGCTCCTTCTAAAATTAAACAAGATAAAAAAGCGAGCAAACGATCGATCACCGCTGCTCTCAAACAAAACTCAGAAAAAACCACGTGAAACGATGTATGGAACAAATTAAAAGCTCAGCATGAGGCGTCTCCGGCCCACGGTACACGGCTCAGGGCAAATATTAAAGCTGTCAGTTTTGTGTAATTTGAAGGCTCGTTTTCGAGTTATAAGTTATGTTATTGAATGTTTTGGGGGCATGTGCGCTCGCGCCGTGTGAACCCACCTCTCTGGTAATGAGCTCCAAGCAAACACAAGCAAGTCTCTTTATTTTTATTAGAAAATTGAAATAATATCTATACAATCAGTGTCTTTTACGATACTGAATGGGCGCTATAAATACCTTATGGTAGCTCTTCAAACATGCATCGATATTCAATCCGTATTTAAGTATTTTTTGAACGACCCAATACGATTAGTAGTGTGGTGCACAATAAAAATACCATCAGAACGAGCTGTCACATTCTAAAATGGCCGTAATTACAATTAAAACTATGGATGTTAAAGTTACTAATAAAACGTTAAAAATGATTGCTGTTGCAACGATAAATCCATTACTAGACATAACGCTAATAACAGACACAATGATAGCCGCTGCTCATTTTGCCAAATTAAAGTCAATTACTGTAGTGAATTTTGAAGAGGTTGCCATTGGAGAGCTAATGCACCATCAGGTGTGGGTGCGCTGCATTCGAGTGAAACGACTCGCATTGGGCTATTTTTTCAACACAAAGGCAATAAAAAAGTGCTAGTCATGCTCTAAATGCCTCCCCGAGTCGACTCTCGAGGCGTCGGTCAAAAGAAACAAACAAAATTGTAAGAAGCGCACAATCATGCACCCACAAAATTATTTTCGCTTCGTAACACGTGTCAAATTTCAATTTTACTAACGTCGAAATTAACAGTGGGCGTAAACAGATTATTGATATTGTAGCCGATAAAAAAGTAATCGATGATCGCATAGAGCGCTCTCTTATTGTTATGAAAAAAGCAGCCATTGTTACGTGTTTAGAGAATTTTTTTTTCAACTTCGATTAAATGGACGCACGAGTTTCTTAAAAAAGTTAAACTTCATCAATCAGTGACGGTGTTATTGTGTACAATAGTGTTTCTCGCAATCGCCATGTGTAATCTGCCCGTTCCTAGAATGCGGTACGATTTTTCACTTTTTAAATGAGATCAATTTAGTGACTTTTGAAATTGGGCGATTGTAGTTGCGTGCGATCCTATCAGTATAAATATTGGCTCCTATTCAGTTTTTGACATCAACTATCTGATATTTTGATGTATTCATTCCCAAGAATTTTCACATGATATCAAAAAAGTGATAAGAACAGGCTTGCCCTGTTCGAATTTTAACCAAATTTCACTTTTAAAATTTCACTTTTAAAAACGTTTTAATAAAAAAAATGAGTAAATGAATAAGTCGAGATGTGCTTGCAGTCAATCGATCGATAATGCCCAGTAAAGCATTATTCATTTTAATTAAAGCCTTCGTTAACTTTGATTAATTGAAACAATTTCGACTCATGAATGCTGTTGTTGACTAACGAAAAATTGCAGATGCTTATTTATAAATCGAATAAAAAATGCACTTATTTTACTATATAATATACATTTAATATTTATAGCTATTAAAAGTTAAGATGATTATATATACCTAACAATATTCTCATCCTTCTAAATAAATATGACATATAAACGCGAGCCCGAACTGAGTCAAAAACAATATTTTTATTTAATTAATAACATTTTTGATCTATATTTCTATGATATAATTGTGTATTTATATAACGCCACGTTACTCATATTTTATAAAATGTTTGCTCAACAACAATACTCAATTTAAACGCGAAATTGCAACATTTTTTCACCACAATGACTTCCCTCCCGTAATAATGTTCTAATCATAGGTTTGACACCCCGGTACCCATACTTCTAAATAGTCTCTCTACGTTCACACTTAAATACGCGTTCATTACATGTACAGTTGCTTGTTGTTATTCATTTGTTCGTTGTGTTGAGGCATTGGAACGTAAATATCATGGGATGTTCGCTATTGTGTGTTTTGCGGCTTCGAGGCGTATAGCAGTGTGGCCTTAGTTGAAAGCCGAGGTTGCTAATGTATGGGTTGTGGGACAAGCAGGGGTAATTACAGCAAATGTTCCGCGTTTGTGTTGACAATGGGACTCCGTTAGAAGCTATTCCCTATTTAAAGAATTAAGAAAACCGACAAGTAGTGTAACTAAATAAATATCTAAAGACTCACTTATAAGAAACCAATATACTAATTACGGGAAGATAAATGGACCTGTTTTCAGTCTAAGCCTATTCTTGTATAAACATTGTAAATGTGATCCCTTATTTACAATGTTTATCATATAATCGTCATATATAAGAATTATGCATTACTATGCAATAACGTTGGACAAATTAAATTCGACATTAAATTTTCTTCCACCAAACTTTAGAGTGGTAGTAAAGAACATAAAAGCAAAGGCTGAAGAGAATTGCATAGTTAGGTGAAACGATAAATTGGTGGATATACCATATGCCCTATGCTTATAAGTAGTTTTAACATGAAGTATCTTTACGTAACCTTACATTATTCAATTGTTGCGGGGCTGACTTTAATTACTGTTTTGTGAAACATTCTGGGATTTTTCTTGGCCAACGTAACTTTTGCAAATTATAAACATGTGGTTACGGATTAAGAGTACGGAGTGTAACTAGCCCTATTCATCCCGCGAGTGTCGTAGCAGCCTACTAAGGGGGCAAAACTACGCAGGGCAACAGCACTTCAAAGAAAAGGAAAACTTGGAACAAACTCTATACCAACCCGTCTGGAAAGCGTGGTGTAGTAAAATAGCCAAAACCTCCTTTCTGAGGAGATGCCTAAGTCCAATGCAATGGACTACTAAATGCTGTTGATGATGATTGATGAACGCAGCTTTTTATTTTTAATGTAGGTTGTTGAGGACATTTTCGGTCTTTATGAGTTTATCGTTTGTTCATTTAATCATTGCGTAATATTACACAGCTAATTAGTTAACATAATGTTATCCGCCCTTCAAAAGTTTCTCTTAAATTATGATCCCTACAGCCCACACAATTGCACCATCATCGCCTACCTGACATGTCTCAAGAATTGACAATTTTTTTCTCCATCCTACAGACAGGATGCGCGCGCGCCTACTCGCGCAAGACAAAGCGCATTAGCATACCGCACGGGGCGCTAGGTGTGGCTGAATTAATCACGTCCCGGCTCGTGCCATACGTCGGGCTGATCAAGGAATTTTGCTAGGGTTGTTATTTTCTACCTTCAGGACTACATCTTCACCGAGGGTGTTCTATAAATAAATTTACAGTTGGTCAAGTGGAACTAGACAACCTATTTGGTATATTTTTAGCCAATGATGGACAAGAAAACGACGTGACTAGACGAAAGTTCTCTAACGGTAACTGTGTTTTAAACTTTGTCATATTATTTTCATCATAATCATCATCAATAGCTTTTAATAGTCCACTGCTGGACATAGGCCTCTCCTTAGAATGGAAGTTAATCACAACAACAAACACTGCACGGTTGCAAGCTCAGACATTTTAAGGTCAAGACAGATCTTCAGAATCTTTTATGTACAAACTAATTCGTTTACCACGGAGTCTGTGTGAAATTTATATTTCTTAGTTATTTGGATTTAAAGGGTAGTCGATAATAACATAAGGATCTTTTGATGAATCATCACAGTTTCTATCGTACGGTGAAAGTTTTGTATTTAGACGAAGATATTCATCTTAATACCACTAAACGCCACTTAAAATGTGTATGCTAATTAATTTGTGAGTATGTGTGTATAATGTCCCGTTGATAATAACTTATGACACTTTTAAAAATATCAAAGCTTAGGTATGATAGAAATATATTATTACACACAAGAAATCCACTCACTCAAATTTGTAAACAAAAATACTAAATCAACTGCCCTTTTTTCTTTTCTAATAAGGTGATCAATGTAATCAAGTGATATAAAATATTACTAGCGTAATGTGCAGTAAACTGTAATTGATATAAATGAATATTGTTTGAAATAAGTAGCAGCATTTTTTTCCTAAAAAGTTATGAAGAAAATTCACATTTTTATATCGCTTTTATAAAATAACCACAAAATTGCCAGATTACAGGTAAAAATATTTCCTTATTATACTCACTTACTTTTTTATGAATGAACCCATACATATATTATTTCATTCAACCATCAAATCAGTATCGAAGATATGAATGGTACATTTGTGAATGAAACACTTGAAGGTCTGCCGATGTACGCATCATGAACTACATTGTACTCTGAGGAACGTGGTTACGGTCCCTAATTAAAAACGCATTTAATTTTATGTCTTAATGCACAGAAAATAAGATGCAGGTCATTATCGTACATTTGCACTCAATAAGATGTTCATTTTTAAAACGTAAATCATGTTACCACATTGACAATTGACTATGATAGTTAATGTTATGGCAATAAAATTCAATTCAGCGTAGTATCATGATTGTGTAGCTGTCAAATCTGTCAAGTCATCAAAATATGTGTTGGGTGAGGAAGATGATGTTCGATATGGACTCACAACGGTTACAATAGGCGACGAGAATTGATTTGAGATCTTATGATTAAAAAGTGTTAGAGGATTGTATCGATTGAAATATTGAAATTATTACAAGCTCTTAAGCTGTTCAATCGTTAGAATTTATCAATAGGAATCACATAGCGTTCATTGAATCGAGATACGGTTTAGCATTTTTCTGCTCAAATTTAGAGTGGGTTTAGGTGTATTCTAAACACCACTCTTACTTAAGGGATATTATCTGAGAAGGATAAAAGATCGTACATGCATACCAAGATACCCACTCACCGCTTAATCCCCGAAGAATAGGCAGAGGCCTAGGTATAAAGCCCACGTTTTGCCAACTATAATTAAAGTCTCACTCACGTTATGGGAGGCAGGCCTATTGCTTTTAACCGGGCACTTTAGGAAATAAATGGGAAAAATGTTAAATATTGCATGCATAGTTGGAAAAGAAGGTAACAGTAGGCAAAGAGTATGCGACCCTTATCTGCTCGAGCTATCTTGCTTTTTCCCTACTATTTACTTACTGGAAGATACTCAAATTAGCCATTGATGGAAAGGCAGAGTTCAGTGGACCTTTTTTTTTATGAATTTTTTCCGTGTTGAAATCCCCTCGGATACCACCTGTCCGTGGCATGTCGGACTCGAACCGACTAAAACCGCACGCCGCCTCGGGTACTAATAGCCGGGGAACCAGGTATATCCTAGAAAGGAAGTCCCTGGTGCCCCGACATACCTCGGGTCATCTACAGACGAGTAGACGACCCCCCTCCCCCCCCGTGTGGGAACCCCATGTTCCCTGTGCTCCCTGGAAGCGAGCGCGCTTCGCAACGCGCTCGCCGCCACCCCGGCCTGCTTCTGCTAGGGTGACAGATGGCCTCACCTGTCACCCCCAGGCCTGCGCTTATGGAGGACGGAGGTCGTTCTGCGAGAGTTCAGTGGACCTAGTAAAATATGTCTCCTAGCGAATTAATATAAAACGAGGTTGTGGGTCACTTATAATCAAGCAAGTCAACTTATAAAAACAATAATCAATTCACGATTGCTGCATTTTACTTTGAAAGTACTGTAATTTTATGTGCTGTTTACGACTTCCATGTGCAAAGAATTCAAAAGCAAATTTATGTCCTAAGGATAATATTATATGATTTAAGTACCTACGGCTTTCAAAGTTTGTAACTTCAAAATCTTCAGTCCTTGTATTGCCTAAAGCGTGCCTGCTACGTGTGTCACGGTCTCTTCCCTTTCACCTCGATATTAAAACAATTCCTCCGTCCCATTCATACGTTCTTCCAAAAACCTTATTGTTTATCGATCGCGCGGGCGTTTATTAGTTAAATTTAAGGGCTATTATGTTATCGGTGGTTTGGTCGTCGACAGATCTTTGTGCTTGTAAGCACGCAGGAACAATGCGGCCGCGTCTTGTGCGGCCTGTACTTTTTGCCTTTGTCTCGATGTCCGCGACGGCCACGATCCATGAACCCATGAATGTATGTGAGTCATAGGTTTAATGTTTTAATTTCTGTTGATTCATATTTTTGCAGTATTTTTCGTTGGTTTGTCGCACAACATTTTCAAATTTTATTCTCAAAAGAGCTTTTTTACAAACTCTCTACTTGTACGCAGTCGAGTCCTTAAAGGTACGGAAAGGAAGTAGGTATAATTGAATTATTGATTGCTATGTAACATATAATATCTTCCAAAATAGAATGTTAAAAAGTCAAGCTGTTGTTTTCGTGCTATTAAATACAATTAAAATTTTACTATTTTTCTTATGTATGTATTTTTATGTTTCCACTACAAAGGAATTATACATGTGTCAGTATCAGTGTTCGTAAAGTTTATGTATTGCAGAGAAGGTATATTTCATTACATAAATTGACAGAAATTAAAAAAGTTAAAGATGCCATATAAAATTGTTTAATTGAAAATCTTGCATTTCTTAGCTTGATGTGTTTGCTACGTTTTGTATAAGGCGGGGCAGCAGTGTCGCAGCGTCCCCGGGAACAAAGACGTTTAATTGTCGGTTATCCGACGATAAATCCACGCAACCACTCATTATTCGATATCGGAACGTTGTTAATTGAAACTTTTGCTTTTATTTCGGTCAGGGTTGCAACATGAGTGAATACACACATTGAAATGTATTATAATGTTTAGGGACGTCTCACATCACATTGCAAAACAACAACCTTTTATTATATTGCCATAAATGGGTACAAAAATACCTATTTACAGTTTATTTGTCCATCTAAAGGTTGCCAGTAAGAAATACCGGCGGTAGGTGCCCCTTTAGCTCGTTTGCCCCTAATACCATAAAAAATGCTTTTTCTTCATGGTCATTAACTTGATATACTACTTATTGTATGTATAATGTACTGAACTGGAGTACAATAAAGATTATTCAATTCCATTCTACATGTAGCTTCTAAAAATTTATGAACACAGTGCCTGTACCTACTTCATAAAACTGCGCCCCAAAAAATAAGTGCACAAGTCAAAAAGCTGCGCAAATAACAGTATATATATCATTCTCACCTCGCACTCCAATCGGACATTGATTTATATAGATGCTTTATTTGATTCGATTGTATCATCAGAATGTCATAAATCGACCTCCCCTTACCGCGTCCCCTCCGATACCGATATATATTTCCACAAGAGTTTTTCCTGATGTCATTATGTCCATATAGGTGATAACTGAATCCGCCCTGGTATTAGGGTTTATTGGGATTTCGGCTTTTTGATGCTTGGTATGTGTCTTATATTTACTTTGTGGCTTATGGTTGTTTGATTCAAATATTGTTTGTTTTATAAACGTCTGTTTTTGGTTTGTCTTAAATTGTTGCGTGCTATATTGTCTATGTGCAAAGCTAGTTACGGCAATCGTATTTTTTGCAATCATATTATTTCTATTGCAATCAATCTTTATATATTTGTTATCTCGTTCATTTCCACTTACCAATAATAATTAAACTTATTACAAAGAAATATGCTGAGGAAAATCTAAACGATTCTTCATGACTTTTTTGTAATTATTCTAAATGAGAGATTGTAAAGTTTTTCCGCATTCGCGGTTTTGTGTGATATGTCACATAATTAGAGTAATTTTAAATTCAAATATAGTTATTCCTAGAGAACGTGTGAAAGTGTTAATTTATCGAGTTTAAATAAAACCAAAAGTTAAAACCGTTAGTTGCCCCCTCATACTGGAAACGTTCTTGTATTTGTACAAATGGTGTTATGTGTTTAGAAGCACAAACAACATTCTTTCTCAGTTAGTTCCACTGACAGCTTCCGCAATTCATCCCCATCTTGTCAAACTTCGGGTCCTGACCGCGGCCACATTTTTTCTTGTCCAAATAAATTAATACAGGCGTCTTGGGACCACTCCACCCGGCGACTTGTCAAATTAATTTCTTCTCGCAAGACAATTTGTCTGCCGCTTGAGGGTTACAAAAAACTTCAGTATCGATTGCCTGGCGATTAGTCAAAGGGGCCAGAACCCTAGTTACGATAGGGTCTGTAACTTCCAACATATAGTTAGTATAGTTTTAACAAGATTTATATGGTGAACATTTTTTTCTTTATCCATGAAATTGGTAAATTTGCTTTAATTTTATTACCATAATGTTTAGAGACAGGTAACTTGCTGTTTTTGACATCATTAACGGGTAAAAC